GAACGACGTTCAATTACAAAGTTGAAACATCACAAATAAATCTGCACCATCTCTCCTATTTGTTGTACATGTGCTAGCAACTTCACGATCTTCTGGTTTTCTTCAGCCTCGGGATCCAGTTCTTCAGTCACATCAGCAGCTTCCTCGGATAAAATGACCAAATATTGAGCTATTCTCTGCGCGTGTCCTAAGTAACAAGCAATAAGATCTTTTCTTTGCTTAACTCTCGCCTGAGCTCGCTCCCATCGAAAACGCCATTGTATATCCCCCTCATAAGGAACTATCGATAGCTCACTTGCTTGCCTCTGAAAATCTTGAACCATGGCTTCAAGCTCACTCACTTGTTTTTTCAAACTCTCAACTTCCCCATGGCTTGAGCTACCTTCCCTGTTTCAGTATCGTCGTAATGCAATCTCTAAACTTGAAATTTCTCCTTCAACTTCTCATTATGAGCTTGACTCTTTTGTAATCGCTGCTCTAAAGAATCCTTTTCTTTCGATAAAATCTTCACTTGGTGCCTGCTTTGCTTGAGCTCTTCTTGACTCTCTCCGGCTACTCTTTTGAGGCTCGCCACCTCTTGCCTCCATTCGACAGATGACTTACTCGAGCTAGAACCTGTCTGAGCTTTTACAATTCGCTGATAAGTTGACCGAAGATCGTCAAAATCTAGCCGAAGTTGCTTCTCTATTTTTTCAATTCGATCTGCTCTACTCTTCTGAATGTCAATCTCCAATCCCTTTTGATACACTTCATCTTCTAGCTTCTGTAAAGTCATCCCATTCTCCGTTCTGTTCGAAATCGCGCTTGGCTAACTCTAATGGAGATGACACCACTCTCAACTGTTCCTCCACCGGCTGAATATTTTCATGATTCACTATCGGGATGTTGTTGTTTACTCGACCGCTTCTCCACTGCTCGTACTCTTGAGATAACTCGAGATCATAGGTGAACAAATTCACGCAACGAGTTTGCTTCCAGGCCTCAGCAACCCCTTTAACTTTACCCTTATACTGATCTCCTTGAATGCAAATCCGATCCTACCAGTCCCACGTGGCTGAATGAACTGCCTCGATCCATATTGTCTGAAACTAGTAGCGGTGCATACCCAACAGAACCCCATATACCTGGCAAAGGAACCCAATCCCGCTCTCCACATCGGTAAAGTAATCCAAGAGGTATTCCACGAAGCTCGCCACAAAATATCACCATCTCTGATATCCTTGAATGATGATCCATTTTTCTTCGGTAAAACCCCCATGCCATCTTTAGAAAGAAATCCTTCAAAGTGAGAAAACCGCTAGAATACTCGTCCTGGTGCCCTTTCAACATTTTGAAATGACTCAGAATCCACACTATCAGCAAAGGCGCACATCCTATAAAGCGTCATTCTCCCTCGCACCTACAAGAACTCAAAGATCGGAACGTCTCAGCTAGAATAGCTGGAACATGATCCACGCGCTTGTCTAATCTTTCAAACAGGTCAACGACTGATACGTCTACATATCCTAGCACTTTTGGAAAAATAACAAGCCCATAAATCCCTAAAGCAAACAAGTCAAGCTTCTTTCTCTTATCAGAATGATGAGAAATTACTTCTTTCAAAGCAGACCAAGAGATGCACTCACTGTCTCCCTTCTTCTTGATGTTTCTAACTACCCAATCTTCACTCATCCCGGTCATCAATAATAATTTCTTCTTAAATGAAGGAGTGACTGGCAACTTGGTATATCTATCTATATGGGACCTCGCAACGGATCAAAGCTTGATACTCCTCTATTGTTGGTGTCATATCCACTCTACCGAATGTGAAACAGCTATAAGCAGGATTCAAGAACTGCGCCAATGCCCTAAATAGATTTCGATCAATAGGAACATCCAGAAGATAAGGAATATCGCCGTATAACTGATAAAACATCTCATTATCGGCTACTGTCCATCTTCCTTATATCTCCTTTAGCTCACTTAGATCATTCTGACGCACGTTAATGTGAGTATAACCAAATAACTCCGACACGTATCCTGGCATCACGCTGTCCCCATTGGTCAGTTGGGACTGTTCCGACCACCTCAGAACATCGGCATTGTCTTCAACATCTTTCTGAACCGTTCGTTCCATATTACTGGCCTTCTATATGGACATCGATCCCAAATCAACACCATGTAATGGATAGTGCAATGCAAAACAGAAAAGAAACAAGACAGACAACAAGATCGTTAGCAAACATAAACATTAAATCGGGATAATAATTTGTTCAAGAATCCTACCCACATGCTGGCTACCCAATTATACTTTACCAGATCCTACCCAATATGATATCTACCCCCATGCCTCGTTATTCACAAAAAGAAAACCTAACCGCATGATATCTAATTCGCAGCTTGTTCGAAAAAACGAAAATAAATGACTCAAAAAAGCTTTTCCTTGTGTACCCTCCTCACCGGATTCTTAAGGTTCGGGTTTGGCTCAACCTAAGTTCGGGCTCTATATTCACTATATGTTGGGTTCGGTTCTAAAGTAATAGGTTCTCGAATTGTTTTTGTCGGTGCCCCATTGGGCTGCCAAACCCTCAATCCTGGCCCATCACAGGCTTTAGGTGATCGAGTTCAATTTCGAGAGAACACACCTCCTTATGTCCATGCGGAGGTGATTACCATCACGAGGACCATAAGGCGTGAGCTCCAGGAGCGATCCACTATCCCATGCGGAGGTGAAAACCACACGAGGGCATAGTCTCACTCCTACTTAATTAGGACGAAGCGGGGTTTTAGCTCATGTCATGAAAATGCAACTGTGCAGTGTGTAAGGAAAGCGAAAAAAACACAATAAACACTCAAATTTCCTAAATTCACACATTAATCTGAAATCATTAGCAAACAAATTAGTACAACTATTTAATTGTTAATCAAATTAAATTTTAAAAAAAATCAAATACAACAAAACTTATTAAAAACCAAACAGGGATCAAAATCAAATTAAAACGAATTTGTAATTTTCAATTGCAAGAAAATTAATTAATCGACTATCGGCTTGACTCTCTAAAAAAAATTACGTCCCCAGCAGAGTCGCCAAGCTGTCGAAACGATTTTTTCTAAAAAGTGAAAAGGTAAAAAAAAGGTGAGATTTTAAAAACCACATTAATTCTTAATTGTCTCTTTTTATTTTAAAAACATATGCGATTTAAAAGACCTCTCGTTTCGAAAAAATTTGAATTTCCTTTACGATCGAAAAATACGGTTCAAAGAGTCGCCACCAATATTTGATTAGGGTGTGATTGGGCACCCAAAAATGCTTTGTCATTTTAAATAAAAATTAATTTTATTAAACAACAATTGAGGTCTACGTTACCAAAATCCGAGTTCGGGAGTCGGTTTACGTGTGGGGAAGGATTAGCACCCCCAAACGCCCTAAATCGGTACCAGTCGATTAATTAACATCTTTGCAATGAACTTTACAAATTCGAATTTTTTTGATTTTTGATCCTATAAATAAAATGTAAATTTAAAACATTCAAAAACACTCAAACAAATTAAATTAAATTACCAAGTCATTTTAGAAAGATAAAGAATGTTCGATTATTTACAAATATCGAGACCAGATCTTAAAGATATACAACATTTTCTCGATATTTAAATAAACAAACATTTCTTTTTCTCTCGTTCCCAAATTTTAGGTGACGAATCAATTTTTTGGTTCACTTCGAGATACACTTTTATTTTAAAATCATTAAAAGCGGACCTCAAATCAGTTATGACTGCCCACTTATAACAATTTTAAATTAAAAATATTACCCTTATCCAATTATGAATATGTCGAGTTATGCAAGTGAGGCTATCATGCAAATTATGCAAAAATGATGTCATATAAAAATTAATTAAACATGCGATTAAATAAATGAGTAAATAAATCTAAAGCTAAATTACTATTAAACAAAGACCACAAAAAAAACCTATCAATGCATTACATATACCAATATCAACATAAAACTAAGACCACCTGTAAAGCTAAAATGAAAACCGACTTATCCAAAAAAAAAATGAAAACCGAGAAAATGTTATGCCAAATATGCAACATCACATAAACTTAAAATAACATACTCATGACTAAATGTGACATGCAAAAACCTTAAGTCTAATATCTAAACAATATAAATTGAACAAATCAATATTTAGACGAAAATTAACATAAAATAAATAGACATAATTAGATACATGCAAACTTCTACCTAGGGACTAAAATGTAACATGCGAAAATTAACAGTTTAATGTCTAAAACAGCAAAAATTAAATACAAGAATACTTAGGGCTAAAATTAGATGCGGGTAATAAAGAGACAAAACTATAACATGCAAATGTTGATTTATGGACTAAACGAACATGCAACAATTCAAAGTTAAATGTCTAAAATAAAAAAAACTAAATAACATAAACATTTGGGACTGAAATTAAAACGCATAAATAAAGATGCAAAATTGGAAACAGGAAAACATTCGGTTTGGGGACCAAAATGAAAATAAACACAAAAACTATAGGGATTAAACGACACTCTAAGGACTCGGTGGCTAAAAACTAATTAACCCTAAAATTTTAATATATCCAACCTAAATAACAAACCTAACCTAACTCTAAACTAAACAACCCAGCCGTTCCTCTCATCTCTCTACCCTCCCTCTATATCTCTTTTTCATCTCCCCCATTCACAAGTCACGACCGAGACTCCAATCCCAAATCCGGCCACCATGCACACGCCCCGTGACTCAACGTAAAGGTAAATGATCTTCACCCTACCTCCCTTTATTCTCACTCTATTTTGAAATCACGATCTAAAACTAAACCTCATACCCATGTGCCAGGTCTCTCGGACAAACCTCAACGCTCGAACACCAACCCCTGTTACGCACGACTCGGGTAAACAATCTTCTCCTGATTCTATTTCATATTTACCTTGGTTTGAAAACAATACCAGTACACACAAAAATCGGGAAAATGGAAACAAACCAAAAGAGAGTACCTCAAACCCAAAACGTGTTTTCTATTGCTTTCCCGATTTTTGAATACAATGATGGATTGCCCTTTCTTTTCTCTTTTACATTGATTTTCTGCTGTAAATTCGAAGGAAAAGATTGAGACCACCATCTTTTTTACTGTTTTCGTCCCCTGTTTGAGAGCCCCCTTCGAATGATTGTTGGGAAACCTTCTCGTTAATTCCTGGTTGCCGACCTGAGAGACTCCCCTTGTTCTGTGTTTTTTCTCTCGTTTCTTTCCTTTTTTTTCTGCTCGGGTTCCCCTTGTATTTCCAATGGTCCCCCTATTTACAATGCTTTTCCCTATTTTAATTTCTAGCGGTTAATTCCCCCTCAAAACTGACTCTTTACAGTTTTTTTTTTGAGTGCTCAATATCATTCCCACGATCAAACACTACTTTCCCCTCATTTTCGCTTGCTAACTGTTCTTGTTGTGCAGGACTTCACGTGGACTGAAGTCTCCAATCAACACTGCTGTTTTGGGCTGATTTGGGCTCCTACTGGTCCAAATTTGTATCGTTTGCTGGATACGAAGCCTCCGATAAAAGCCCTCGGACGAAATCGAGCATCTACACGGAATCCTCTGAAGCTACCTGGAGATCATCACTGGAAAAAACTGCCTCTATACCACCAAGAGGCAACTTGAGTACCTCATCCAGGAACCTGAGGAAAAAAGAGCAAATTAGTTGATACAACATGTTTTGAAGGAAACAAAAAATTTAAATGCTGCATATGCATTCATGTATGGCGGGAAAAAACCCGACATTGTTGATACAGACAACAAGCTACTCGATCATCTAATATGGTAGATAATAACAGCACTCACTTGGTTACGTCCTTGTAGCTTGCGGCAAGAAATTGCTTTGCTACATCTGTCAGTGGCTGAACAGTATCTGCCATTAAAACAGTAGAAGGAAGATCCAAATACAGTAGGGCAGATTCACAGGTCATTGGTAGGTTCCGTAACATTCGACTACAATATCTCATGCATGATGCGACCTTGAATTTGTCAGCAGCCATCAACACATCTAGCACGGCAGTAGGTGTGGTAATTGACAGAGTGTTGCAATATACAAACTTAAGAAGATCCAGGAAAGCTGCTTCTTCTGATCAGAGGGTTACCTTGTCAATAAGTACTAAGTACTCAATAAAGAACATAATGACATTTAGATCACCAGCAAATTCTTAAGTGAAGCCACACAAATACTTAACAGTTCTTGCATGAAAACTGTCAAAATTCATTGGGTTCATGGCAAGAAGGCAAAGAAGAAGAAAGGTATGATAATAGGAGAAATACTTGATACTGTTAACATTTACCAGAGGCATGTATCCGGAGTGTTATATGTCACTGCTCTGACTCCCTCATTCCATTTGAAAACAACTGTAAAAAAAGAGGCATAAATCAGTATGCCAATCATGAGTACGACAATCAATAACAAGGAAAAAACCAACCAACCAGCATCCCCTTACCTTGTAAAAGAAGGGACTTTTTGCTGCTAAAATTGGAGAACTAACATGCATGGTATTGACCCTTAGAACTGTCGAACAATCGATATTCCAGGATGAATCATTGCCATTAACTATATCATTCCCTACAAAAGACCATATGTGTGTCAAGTTTCATTCCTTGAGATACCAGAATCCATGGTTTTACTCTATCCATTTGCTCATTTCCAGTCAAATTCGACTTCAAATCATACTCTTTTGTTTTGTTCTTTTAGCAACTTATGAAGATACGGAGCATAAACAACAAAGGAAGGCATTCAAGAAACAAAACCATTTACTAGTTACCAATTAGATTGCAATTCAATCCAACTCCACAAGGCGACGCTTCAATCATTGCTGCCGCATCTTCATCTCGGTTTTCATACGTCGTGCCATCCTCAGTATTCTGCAAGTTACAATTCAATATTTGCCCCTCACGTTGCACGGCAACATCTGCAAGACCGGAACACAAAAAAAATCGTCAAAGCCTAAAACAAACACAGGTACTATGATACACTATTAATGTTGACAATAGAAAGAACAAACCAATTTCTTTCTTGAAATCCTCTCTCCGCCTCTTTCTATTACGTGCCCAATCCACGATGGACGAGCAACAGTTACCGATGGATTTTGCCTCCGGCAAATCCGGAACGACCTCAATCCTCAAGACCCGATCGGAAAAATTACTTTCGTTAAAAGCAAAGCCGAAATCCATTTCAGCGTCATCAGAACCGGAAGGTTCGCCGGGAAAGGAGTCCGAGAACATAATCGTTTGCGGAAGGTTCAACACTCTCATATCCCCAAACCTCCAAACCCTAAATTACTAACAGAGAATAAAATATAATCTTATATATGTATACATATAACAAATAATAAGCAAGGATTCAAACTTTGAACAAATTGGAGTTAGTTGGAGAAGAATTTAAAATCGAATAGTTTAAGAATCTGAAGTTCGCTGGTTAGTTTCGAGTCGTATTGTTCACATATTATATACGTATGCGGTATGTTACATGTCTTAATTGCTTGGGTAAACTAAACTAGTAGCCCCTAATCTTTTAGAAAATTTTTGTTTTACTTACTTAACTTTTAAAACTTGCGTTGCAATCATTAAGTTTTTTTATTTTTTATTTAATTTAAAAGAGCCTAAAACATTAGGCTAACAGACATTGGCGAGATGTGCAGAAGCAGAGCTTCTAAGGCAATGAGATTTACGACTTCCACAGGGGGAGATCATGCGTTTCCAAGTCAAAGTGATGATATGGGGCAGCTTGTTCATCTACTTTGCTACTTTATTTCCAGTTCTTACGATTCATCGGAATTTTAACACCCAATTGTGGCGACATAAATCAATAATCGTTCGAACCAGAGAGAGCTGATTACGAGCAGGGTCTTCTTCAGTTAACATCATAATTGCTTGGGAATTGTCCGATTGCACTAACACTTGTGAGACTAAGATTACGAACAGTCAGGAACAGGTCGTGGCTAGATTGTTGGAGGCTCTATTCAAATTCTTGTAAAGGGGTCCTTAGATCTCGAACTTATTTTTCTGAAATAATAAATAACTAATTTCATTAATTTAAAAAAATGATAGATATACTCTATTTCGGGGCCTCTGTGTAAATTTGAACTTGTTTTTCCTAAAAATAAATTTACTTGTTAACGAGATTCGAACTTAAGATCAACAAAGTCATGAGCCCAATGATCTAACCACTGTTATATATATATTTTTCTACTTCTTAATGTCAACAACTGATAAATATACTCTATTTCAAACTTCTTATTTTTTGAGATCCTACACCGTCACGCATCATGCGATTGCTCACCCACACCCTTGGTAAGGAGTCCTTCATAGATACCTAAAGCTCGGCTTCGATAATAGAACTGATGTCGATGTTTTTGTTGAAACCAAAAACCCATTCGCCTTCCGAATTTCGAATAATAAAACTGACATAACATTTTTTTAATTTCATTTTTTCCTTTTCATTGTTCTGATTACATGCGCCATCATTATTTCATACTTTTTTTCAATAGTTGTTATCACTAAACTCAACATTTATCGTACTAAAAAGTTTCACTATCGTGCCACGACTGTTGGAACCATTTATCATTATTATTTCATCTAAGTTTCAAAAACAATAGAAATTTCATCATTATTCATGATCAAACCAATCATAACTTGAGTTATCATCATTAATCTCTTTCGGTCACAGTACATAGACATAATTAGTAATATAAGGAAACCAACAAAGTAGAGAGAAAAAATGATAATTAAAAGTATTAATGACGATGAAAAGATGCGATACTCTAATACTTTTAGTTGATCTCAAAAGAATTTAAACGGAATAATTAAGAGATTAAAAAAGAAGAATCCTTTAATAATGACAACGACTGAAAGAACACCGAACAATGATGATATAGGTGATCCGAACGACAACTTTTAAGTTGGAAAAAGACATATTTTGCAATCTTAAAAATTTGTTGAAAAATTAAAATTAAAAGAAGAAAGGAGTGAAAATTGAAAAACAAGAAAATATATTAAATATTCATTGAATAAAATTTTCAGAATAACATAATCGAAAAAAAATATAAGAATTAAGTATACTTTAATATTTATTTTTAAGTTATAAATTAAAAGTGAATTTAAGACGATTTTTCTCAAGATAATTAATTAATTAACCAACCATTTAAGCTAGATTGATAGCATTGGTTAAATCGGCCTATCGAAACGCTGTCCTTAAACCGTCCCATCCAAGCCCATTTTAGTCATTTCTTAGGAAGTCAAACATTCTTCTCCCTTTTCTTTCTTTCACCAATTTAGAAATTTGCTAAATTGTCATTTTCCGACAAGACAGAGACACAAATATATTCCCTTCTGACTCACCTCCTTCACTAGCCCCAACTCACCTTTTTTCTGTAAGAATGGGTAATCGCGACAGTCTCCCCACCTCCGATGACCGGTCCCAACCAGACTCTAATTCCGGCGGAAGCCACCGTAATGGCGCCAACGCTAAACCCGCCGGCCCTTCATCGTCAAGACACCAAAAATATTCAACCCACCACGACCCTTACACCGCCGCCTCCAAAAGCCGCCTCGCTACCCCCAACATTCCACCCATCGGCCGCGTTCTCGGCCGTCCGATGGAGGAAATCCGGTCTACATACGTCTTCGGCCGCGAGCTCGGCCGCGGGCAGTTCGGTGTTACCTATTTGGTGACTCACAATGAAACTCAGCAGCAGTTCGCTTGTAAATCAATCTCCACGCGTAAGCTTATCAGTCGTGATGATATCGAAGACATCCGCCGTGAAGTCCAGATCATGCATCATCTCACTGGCCACAGGTTTCCCCTTCAATTCAAACCTTTTTCTAAATTCTGTTTAGTTTTTGATAATCTTAAAGGTTTAAGTAATTGGGTTGATAGGAATATTGTTGAGCTGAAGGGAGCTTATGAGGATCGGCACTCGGTGAATCTGATCATGGAACTCTGTGCTGGAGGGGAATTGTTTGATCGGATTATAGAGAAAGGTCATTATTCAGAAAGGGAGGCCGCTAATTTGTGTAGGCAAATCTTGATGGTGGTGCATAATTGTCACTCCATGGGTGTGATCCATATGGACTTGAAGCCTGAAAATTTCTTGTTCTTGAATAAGGACGAGGATTCTCCATTGAAGGCTACGGATTTCGGGCTCTCTGTATTTTTTAAGCCAGGTGAGCATTTGTGGTTTACATAGCTCGAACTAGTCTACGTTATATGATCTCGAGCGTGAACGTATGTCAAACTTTCTCTACTAATGCAGGAGATGTTTTCAAGAGTCTTGTCGGAAGTGCTTATTATGTAGCTCCAGAGGTTTTGCGCCGACGATATGGACCTGAAGCCGATATTTGGAGTGCCGGGGTGATTCTTTACACTCTCCTCAGTGGGATGCCACCATTCGATGGAGGTAGTACTTTAACTAGAATGAAGCAATTCAAGGCAATGAACAAATTCAAGAAAGTTGCTCTGAAGGTGAATTGCTCTCCCCGTCATGTATAACATGTAATAAAAGAAGATACTGTACTTGGGGATGAGCCATCACTAACCTGTCCCTGGCGCTCATATCCGAGTTCGAGTAACCTAGATTTGGTGTTCTAACCAAAATTGAAAGCTGGGAATGCAAAGGATTTTAAGGATCCATTTCCAAGAGACAAGCCAAAGATGTCCCTATTACTCTCTGGCTATTAGCTGATGGTAGCAATGCGGCAACATAATCGTTATCGTCTTCATCCATTTTTTTCTTTCTTTCTCTTCTTCCAGGTAATTGCAGAAAATCTCTCTGAAGAAGAAATTATAGGTTTGAAGGAGATGTTCAAATCCATGGACACTGATTACAGTAGAACAATCACCTTTGATGAGTTAAAAGCCGGCCTTCATAAACTTGGTACTAAGCTTTCCAAGTCTGAAGTATGGCAGCTAATGGAAGCGGTATGTTTCCAGGCTGATGTTGACGGAAATGGAATGATTGATTACGTCGAGTTCATAACAGCTACCATGCACATGAATCGAATAGAAAGGGAAGAACGCTTATACGCTGCCTTCCAACACTTCGACAAGGACAACAGCGGGTAATCAGTCTTACCATTTTCTTATATTGAAGTGAATAACAGTTTCTTACAAACCGAATCATATAGCCTCGTGATTTCCGATCATATCTGTTTCAACTTGGTTTAGGTACATAACAATGGAAGAGCTTGAACAGGCCCTTCGGAAGTATAATATGAAAGATGAAAAAACATTAAGAGAGATCATTGCTGAAGTTGACACAGATAGGGTATGCTTATTCTATCTCTTTTCAGATGTTTATGTATGTATGTATGTTCTAAATGTACTTAAACGAAATTATTGCAATTGAGGCACTGAAGTACATTCCAACTGTTATTTAGTTTCTTTGACCATTGTAATGGGATCTTCATGTTTGATGTACCTGTTGCTTCCTGCAGGATGGAAGAATTAACTACGACGAGTTCGTTGCCATGATGAGAAAAGCCAACCCGGAGCTGGTCAGAAACCGACGACGCAAGTAATCTGAATGCAACTTGCATATCTTCTTTTTGGTGCTTCAAATTCATGTCCCGACTAGTTTGTTAATTTACACTTGCTTTCACTCGGTTTCCCCACCTGAATCGTCAGCTTGTGCTCGGAAACCATGTTAGTAGGTAGTCTATTCCTTCCCCTGCCATAGAAATGGACCAAGATTGCATCAAACTGCGGCAGAGTATTTGGCTAATATGCACTTTAGCTTAACTAGGATGTAGTATAGATGAAGAGAGGGAATATTGTAGATAAAGAGAGTGAATATTGTAGATGAGAGGTAGAAATGGTTAAATTTTCGATTTTCTATTCAAATTTGATCAGTTATAAGTAAAAGTTTTAAAAATATATAGGAAATTTTAATTTTTCGATTTCCGATTTCCGATTTGGTCGATTGTAACTTATAAATAATTCAATCAATCAATTTTTTTAATCTATGATTACAATATGTATGATACATTAGGATTATTATAAAATATAAATACTTATCTAACCTTAACAATCAATGCTGAAAAGCATATTTACAATTGTCATTTAAGAAAATTTTAATTTTTAATTAAAAATATTATAACTAAAATATTTTAAAAAAATCATATAATCAATTTGGTTGGATAAAGTATACCGAATGTCTTAAAATATATTCAAATGATTTTTTTAATCATTAAAATTTTAAAAATTATAAAAAAATATTAAATGCGGATAAAATGATTATTCTGTTATAAGATATTTATTAAATTTATTGAATTATTATAAAATAATTATTAAATTTATCGAATTTTATGATCATAAAATGTTATGTTGTTCAATTAATAATTTAATGATTATTTTATAATTTTAAGAAATTTAATAATTAAAATAATTATTTGAGCATTACTTAAGAACCTCTCGTATACTTCACCCAATTGATTTTCGAACAGAACGCAGTTAAATTACATTACTTAGAATAATAAATTCCTACTTTCCAAACACTCCCTGAAATCCTCCGTACCAGAAAAAGACACTCTCCGGTTGGAAACGAAAAATCTCAAATTAGGGATTTTGATTTACAATTCCCAAATTGCATGTAAAATTATGCGTCTTTAATGCAAATTATTACAGTTATTGAAATTAGGGCCTCATGTTGATTCCTACTGTTCCCATAAGGTTAGTATTAATGCATAAGCATTTTTGTGTTTTGCATTCTGCTTTCTGTTTAGCTAATTTCTTTCCCATGTTAAATTTTGATTTTTGAGAATCTGAAGTTGGAATTTTTAAATGGGTTATGTTTGGCTAACAAGAAAATAGAGGAAATAGTCCGAATTTACAAAACTGGAATCTAAATGCAAACTTTGTTTAAAAGTTGGTTTTTGACCCTGAAGCTGAACTACAGTTAGTTAGGTTCTGCTTGGTTGATGAGAAAATGGGGGAAAAGAAATTATGTATCTGGAAACTTGATTGATCTACCTAGGCCTTGATATGGAAATTTAGTAGCTTTATCAATTGATTGCGTTTGAGTTCAACTGAGCATCTCGTCTATTGTGGTTATATTATTGAAACTATGCCATTTGTACTATTAATTCACAGGCGTTTTTGGTTTTGTTTTGTTTTTTAATTTGCAGAAATGGAAAATTTCATGCTTTAGGCATGAGGGGTTCTCCCTGAAAACCCAAAATCTGAACATATTGAACATTTTCTCTCCGAAGAATTAGTACAACTGGAATTCAAGAAGCCTAGTGCTGGTAGAAGAGATTGGAAATCAACTCTCCAGGAGGTAACATTTTCCTTTAATTGGTTCAGGTTAATGAACCTTTGATGTTTATTTGTTTACATGTACAATAGATAGTACTTTCAGTTTAATATTTATGCCTGTTTTCTGTTATCGGCTGTTCATTGAATCTATCGCAATCAGTCTCTTCATAGGTCAGACATCAATTTGTTAACTAAAGTTTAATCTTGGATTGTATTTATGGTCATCGGAGAAAATTTTAACGTTTCTCATTTGTGGACACTCAATCTTAACACATATAATGCAAGTGATCCTACTTCTATCATTTCTTTCATTTCAAGTGATTAAACTGGGTCCAAAACGTATAAGATTATTGTTAAGTGATACGATTTGAGTGTAGGGCGGAATTGTCAAATATCTCAACATGTTTGCTAATTACTTTGCAGGCTGCTGATGCAGTATTGGGGGCTGTTGGTAGCAGGTGGACCGTACCTTGGGCTGCAGAGACCATTCTGCAGGTTGGTTTGTTAGTTTTCTTTACTTGAAATGATCAGATTGTTTTACTTCGGGTGAATTACGTGCACGAACGAATCTGATCATTCTCATTCAGACTCTGGATGAATTACAAACGAGTCAATCAGTTGCACAATAATATTTTCTTTGCTCGCATAGGTTATGCTTCTCTGAGTAGCTGCATTCTGGTTCATCGGGTCTTGGATGATTCCTTTTGCTGCTCACATGTCAGGGTTTAGCAAGGAATCCTTAACATTCAGAGGACAAGCCTTTTTCAGCCTTGTGACCGATGTAACTGAAGGCCTTGCCGGAATTGCGATACTCCACCGCTGTCTGTCTCGGTTTCATCCCCTACCATCAGATTGGTTTAAATTTAGCTTGAAAGGGAAGTGGCTTTTTGATGTTATGCTTGGATGCCTCATGTTTCCTGTCGTCAACCGATTATCACAGTTCAACCTCAGCTTATTGCCTCTTATGCCTTCTACACCCGCAACCCTTTCAAGTGTCGAGCAGTCAATTTTAGCAAGGGATCCAGTAGCCATGGCACTATATGCAGTAGTAGTTTCGGTTTGTGCTCCTGTATGGGAGGAAATTGTTTTCCGTGGTTTCCTTCTCCCTTCATTGACGAAGTACATGCCCATGTGGTGCGCCATACTCGTGAGTTCAGTTGTCTTTGCTCTGGCACATTTTAATGTACCGAGAATGTTGCCACTTATTTTCCTCGGAATGGTGATGGGTGTCATTTTTGCTCGGTCGAGGAATCTATTGCCATCAATGCTCCTACACAGCCTCTGGAATGACTTTGTGTTCTTGGATTTAATGAGATAACACCGCCTCTGTTTTCTCATATCAGCTCTATTATGGGTCGATCATACGTACGGGGCCGGAAAACACGTTTCAGGTCAATTTTCTGGGGTATACTTCTTGACGAACTACTTCATTGTATATGCAATACAAATTGAATGCCTAGAAAACTTGTACAAGCCCCATCAACTAAATTACAACATGCATAATGTAGCATGTTGATAGGCCATTCAGTTGAACCCAGCATAGCTCAAGAGAAATTGCCTTCATCGATTCTGTTTATCATTGATTTTACAAGGAAACTGTAAAAGAAGCAACAGAGAGAATGAAGATTATATATTTCACTTCGGCCTAATGCAATCTTCCATCTTGGAATTGCAAATTTTCTCATGCAGGGTTGATGCCTATTTTCTTGATCAGTGAATATCTAGGTGCTAGCAAGGTTTCGGCTTCGAGTACTATGAACAGAAAATTAATGTTGGAAAAGCTTCGTCTTCCATTCACAAAATATTCATAAAATTCCCCTTCTCCCCTTTCTTTCTTCTCTTTAAACATTGAAGAAATAACCGATACAGACTCCATAAATAGCGGGAACCAACTGCATCAGCCACACTTATATGCCGCTGTTTCTTTCCTTTTCCGATGACTCATTTCTGTGGAAACATAGCTTCTTTCGATCCATTTAAATCAGCCTTGAAAAGTTTCCATGTATATACGTACGTATACTAAGTCTGAACAGAAGAAACATCGCAAGAGGTTGATAGGAATTTCATATTTGGTTTCGGGAACGGAAATTTAGAAGAAAAAAAAAACTATCAAATTAACTTTCACAGGAAAAATAAAAGTTTGGGTTTTCAAAACATCTGACCTGTCGGGTCAGAGCAAATGGATAGGAGGTGGTTCGGTTGGATCGACCGGCATCGCCATGGAGAGGATGGAGAGAGAATTGCTACGCCCAATCGTTGATGGCAGAACGTGCTTTTCAGATAACGTCACGATTTTCTCATGAACATTGAAATATCCCATGAAAGCTCTCAGCTGTCATCGTCACAACCTTTGATAATCATGGAATTCCCTCCTTAAAGATGGCATTGGGTTTTAGAATCTTGTCACCTTCTGTATGTTCTGACATCTTTAACCTGTTTGATATTACTCAGCAGTGAGCGGACTCGAGCATTGCACACTAGTGCCGCCTATGCCCACTTGAAAAATGCTGATGTTTCCAAGTACACCTTTAGGTTAGCTGCTATTTTGCTTCAACTCTTCACTTCTATTTTTTTTTTAAAAAAAAAACTGAAACTTATGCATGAGTACAGGCCTTCAAATCGACAGCCCGTCATATACGAAAATCACATCCGAGCTCGACTGGTCGAGACCAGGAATCTCTTTCCTTACCGGCAGGTTATACTTAACATATTCCTGTCCTTGCTGAAACCAATCGACCGCTTGACCTTGGTGAAGCATCTTTAGGCGTTTTGAGCGAGAGGTACTTGTTCTCACCAATGACATTTAACTGCAGAATTATCTGAAGTTTCATATCTGCAATCTTTTGTTCTCATCAAGAACTTGAGTAGTTTAGCATGCAGATCAGGGATTTAAATTAGAGAAAGTAACATCAGTGACCAAAAACGCCTTATAATATACGAATTTAACCAAAATTTTTTAGATTTGCCAAAATGACCAATAAATTCGTAACGCGATCTCAATTCGCAACCCAGTTTCCAATTTCGCGTTGCGATTTTCCAAATTCGCAACGCGAATTTGTAAATCCCAACACAAAAGTCAAATTCGCAACGTAATAGTCAAATTCGTAACGCGATAGTCAAATTCGCAACGCGAAAGTCAAATGTTTTTACGCGAAACACAATATTAATTTCGCAACACAAATCATCTCTAACCTAAAACCCTAAAGCACAACTCAGTCCCATCTCCATCTCTACGGCAACATCGTCCTCATCTCTGACGAAATCCGTCCTCATTTCCGACGAAATCCGTCTATCTCCATCTCTCAGATCAACCCTCACAACCATTCACGGTCAGAAATGGAAAATCAACCACCGAGGGTTAGTTTTTTTAATCTCTTATTTTTATTTTGAAATTTTTGTATTATCATTAGATTAACCATTTCACTGAGATTACTAAATTCATTCGGTTGTTGCCAATACTACTAAACTGTTTAGTCTTTAATCCTGTGAAGTTAATATTTGTCTTTGTTTTGTCTTTTTGTCGAAGA